CCTCACTCCAACCTCCTTTCAGGCAGTTGCAGAGAGCAAGAAGGTCTCCCCTCAGCCTCCTTTTCTCCAGGCTGAACACCCCCAGTTCCCTCAGCTGCTCCTCATCACACTTGTGCTCCAGACCCTTCCCCAGCTCCACTGCCCTTCTCTTAACACACTCCCGCCCCTCCATGTCCTTCTTGTTGTGAGGGGCCCAAAACTCAGCCCAGGATTTGAGGTACCATCTCACCAGCGCCCAGCACAGGGGGACGACCACCTGCCACCTTCCTCAATGCATCCAAAAAACGAGAGCTCAGCCCACAAACCAGCCCCCACCTCCAGTGCCACGCTGAGAGGTGTCCGTGCTCTCCCCCCAGCCCTGCCTTGCTCCTCCGTGCCTCAGTTTCCCTGGCGCCAGCAACCCAGAGGCTGGTGACTCACATGAGGACGGGCTTGATGGCGTTCTTGATGTTCCCGTAGGCCGCCCGGCCCAGCAGTTCCCGCAGGCACCTCTCTGCCAGCTCCGTGGGGCTCTCCTTCTCCTTCTCGGCTTGCAGCGGGGAGGGGGAGCGGCTGTGAACGCAGAGGAGGGCGATGAGAGCAGCGCGGAGCCTGTGCAGCCGCGGGCAGGCGGGGGGAGAGCAGCAGAGCCCCAGCCAGGGAGGTGCTGGTGCAAAACTGTGGTGGCACCTGCTGGCACCAGGGCTGCTGCTCCTGACACGGCCACCCGGCAGCAGCCAAGGGTCACCCGGGACGAGCTCCATCCCAGCGGATCCCAGGGACAAAGCGCTGCTGGACTGGAGCCAGAGCAGGGAGCAGCAGGGAAGGAGGGATTGCCAGGGAGGGGGACGTGTCACCACGGCCCTGCCTGCAGTGCCAGGCTGTGCCAGCCCCCAGGTCCCTGGTATGGGCAGGACAAGCCTGGGGCTGAGGGCTGGAGGAGGCAAGATGCCCTAAGTGAGGATGCAGGACATAATGTCCTTCCAGGGGGACATGGCCTGGCAGAAGTCACCTTGAACAGGCACATCCCATAGCAGCACAGAATTGTACTGGTTGGAAAACACCTCTAAGATCATCTCGTCCAACTGTTCACCCAGCTCTGCCAAGGCCACCACTAAACCATGTCCCTCAGCACCACAGCTACATGGCTTTGAAATCCCTCCAGGGATGGGGACTCCACCACTGCCCTGGGCAGCCTGGGCCAGGGCCTGACAACCCTTGCCAGGAAGAAATTGTTCCCAACATCCAACCTAAACCTCCCCTGTCATTTCCTTGTCCCATCACTTGCTCTCAGGGAAAACAGACCAACATCCCCTTGCTCCAGCCTCCTTTCAGGGAGTTGCAGAGAGTGAGAAGGTCTCCCCTCAGCCTCCTTTTCTCCAGGCTGAACACCCCCAGTTCCCTCAGCTGCTCCTCTCTCCCAGAGGAGACCAATCCCCTTTTTCCATGCTCTGGCTGTTTGGCACCACACAAACACTACAAATGCTTTTCCCACCTTGATGCTTTAGTTTATGAGAATAAAAGGAAAAGTCATTTGGCCAGAAGCCAGGTTCCCAGGACTGACCCATTCCTCTTCCTTCAAAAGGAAAGTCCCTGAATGAATCCATGCCTGCAGATAGCAATAACCTCCCTGCCACCTGCAGCATCCTTCAGCCAGGTACCTGCAGGGTTTCCTTTCTGGCCACTCCTATTTTTCACAAGCCTCAGCCTGCAACACCTCTGGCCTGGAAAACTTTGCCAAAAGCAGCCCCGGGGCTCTGAAGCTGCTGGTGGAACCAGTGGGACATGGCAGCAGCAAGGACTCACCTTTCGGCTTCGTCCACATGCTGTAAGTTGAAAAGCAGTGAGGGAACAATCTTGTCCATGTGCTGTGGGTCCCAGATGTTGGCTTGGAGTTCATCATTCACTGTCTTCCTTACCACTCCTTGCAAGCCTTTAATGCCAGACATCCGGATCCTAGGGAACAAATTGACACCAAAATGCTACGTATGTACACAGCACATGTTATTTTACATCTTAGAACCATGGAATCCCAGACTGGTTTGGCTTGCAAGGGACTTCAAAAATCTTCTAGTCCCCCCTGCCCTGGGCAGGGACACCTCCCACCAGACCAAGTTGCTCCAAGCCCCATCCAACCTGCCCTTCAACACTGCCAGGGATGGGGCAGCCACAGCTGCTCTGGGCAACCTGGGCCAGGGTCTCACCACCCTCACAGCAAAGACACTGATTTCTGGAGGGGTTTCATGCAGGTGATGCTCCAGTTCCCTGCTGTAGGCCTGATCTACCCCAGGGGAATCCTTCTGTCTCACATTCTCAAGAGATCTGGATTCCCACAGCCTGGCAGGCCCAAGTGGGGAAGGACTTGAACCAGCTAAAATCCTCCCCACGGCACACACTACCCAAGGTAGAGGGATGGCACTGGCCAGCCTGGCCTCTCCCAGGGATTGGTTTTGGACCTGGGAGGTCTCTGCTCCCCAGCTGCAGCATTCATAGTGGAATTTCCACATTTCCCCTATTTCCCCCATTCCCAGCAGCTGCAGAGCTGAGCTGTGCCCAGGGATGCTGGATGCTAAGGATACCTCAGTGCTTTTTGACAACTTGATCCTTTCCAAGTCAAAAAATCCTGACTCTGCTCTAGTCAATAAAGTCATCAATATAAACCGCCCTATGTAGCAGGATTCCTGGGGCTGAAATCAGCCCCACAGCACCCACTGCAAATGCCCCAGAAAGACAGCAAGTGTTTATCTGCAGAAAAAAAATATGCATCAAATAACCTGCTCTGAGGTTTCCCCAACACGTTTTGCAGATTTAATCAAGGCAATAATCCAGTCAAGACACAATCCTTGTGGGAGAAGTGCTGAGCAGGACCAAAGCCCCAGGAAAGCAGTGAGCTGTTCTTTAATTACAGGAGCTGCAGAATTTCTCTCTTCCAGGCTTCAACACAATTTAACCAGCGTCACTGGTGCCCCATATGTCACTCAGAAATAATGAGACTTTTGCATTATTTCCTTATTAAAGAGAAAGAAAAACTTGTGAGCCTGCAGAGGTGAGTTTGGTCATCAAAGATCAGTGGTGAACCTCAGGGGCTGGTCCCTCTGCAAGGCAACAGGTCCCTGGACAGCAGCTCTGGCAACAGTATCAAGATGATGTGTTGAAATGCTCTCTGACATCTGAGATCCCACTCTGGTGAGACCCCCCTGCAGTGCTGGGTTCAGTGCTGGGGTCCCCAACACAAGAAAAACATGGAGCTGTTGGAGGCCTGAGGAGGCCAGAGGCTGATCCAAGGGCTGAAGCAGCTCTGCTCTGGAGACAGGCTGAGAGAAGGCTCTGGGGAGACCTTAAAGCACCTTCCAGGACCTGAAGGGGCTACAGGAAAGCTGGGGAGGGACTTTTGACAAAGGTAGGGAGTGATGGGATGAGGGGGAATGAGGTGGAAGAGGGGAGACTGAGATGAGATCCTTGGAAGAAATTCTTTGCTGTGAGGGTGGTTCAGTGGTGTTGGAACTAGATGACCTTTAAGGTCCCTTCCAATCCAAACCAGTCTGGGATTCTGTGGTCTGAGTTCTCCTCAAAACTTGTCTCTGGCAGCAATGGGCTCCTTCCCAGAGCTTTCTGGCAAGAGCCACAGGTGCCATCAGTGTCCCCCAGGGACATTTCAAGCGTCAGGTCTTTTTAAATACATCACTGACAGTCCTGGCCTTGGCAGCTGTAAACAACATTAATCTGTCTGTTTTAGTCTTAATTAACCCCCTGGGATACGTTTCCCATCACAGTAAAGTGAGTGTGTTCTCTGTGCCGTCTAGAGAGATGTAATCACCTTTAAACATGGAAAATAATGGACCACAGGGCTGCGACAGTTTTGGAGTGAGCATTAATTCTGCTAAAAGTTGGGAATCTCTTATCATCATCCTTCCTTTTGGGGCCAGGACCAACCTCCCACCGTGGTCTAGCCACGACCCTGATGCCAAGGTGAGAAATGCTTGAAGATGCACTGAGGCAGCCCTGGGTTGGGCAGATTGCAGGTGTCATCTCATCACATTTTGCGCAAAATAAAACCAAAGTGGGAAGCCTGAGGGTACATTTGTCCCTTGTCCTGCCATCAGCCATGGTCAGGGCAAGCAGAACTACCCTGGTCTCCAGACAGCAAATGCAAACCAACACACATGCACACAATATGCCACATGGAAACAAAGGTTGGATATGGGCTGCAGTAATTTTCTAGGCTCCTGTTTCATCCTATATTCTCCTATGACAACAGGCTGAGAGAGAACTGAGGTTGTTCAGCCTGGAGAAGAGAAGGCTCTGGGGAGACCTCAGAGCACCTTCCAGGACCTGAAGGGGCTACAGGAAAGCTGGGGAGGGACTTTTGATGAGGTCATGGAGTGATGGGATGAGGGGGAATGGTTTCAAGCTTCAAGAGGGGAGACTGAGACGGGATCTGAGGAAGATCCCAGGGATCCCCCCCAGGATGTGTTCACAGAGCCAGCAGGGCCAGGGACACTCACTTTGTGCGGACGTCGGGGTCGTCGTGGCTGGAGTGACACATCTCGCTGAAGCGCGACACAAAGAAGTCGTAGCTGCGGTGGTAGGACGGGGTGTCCTCCTCGATGTTGGCAAACTTCACAAACTGGAGAGAAGAAAGAGGGGATCAGCTCAGAGGGCAGGCCGACAGAAATACTCACCACAGAACAGCTTGGGTTGGAAGAAACCTTAAAGATCATCTAGTTCAACCCCCTGCCATGGGTAGGGACACCTTCTACTAGACCAGGTTGCTTCAAGCCCCATCCAGGGAGCATTCTTGATATTCCTCTCCAAACCAGCAAACACTTGTGGGCTTCAGCAGTGTAACACAGGGCTTGGTGTGTGCTCTAGGTGACAAGTCAGGCTGCCCAGCTGCACCCAGGACACAGGGTCCTCAAGCAGGAGTGTGCCACTGTATAGTTCCATCAAGCTCCAGCAGCAGCCAGGCCTGGCTATGGATGCTGAAAACTTCACCACAAGCCTCAATGGTCCTTGTAAAGGGCATTTCGAGGTGCAATGAGAGATTCCTAATACACAGTACACAGTAACAGGAGATAAATTCTCCCCCAGTTTCTTTCCATCCTCCCAGGTGGCACAAAACCCAACCAACATTTCCCAAATGCTGCTACTGCCTTGGAAATGCCAGTGGAGAAACCAACTGCAAGGAGGTCCTTATAACCACATCCCAAATCTCTCCGGCAGCACCAGGTCCCATCACTCCCTTCCACAGTGAAACACCAGCTGATCAACAGATCTGGCCATGAAGCTTTCAGGGAGAGAGTGAAGGAGGAAGAGAAGATAAACCTGTTTTCAAGTTTTCCTCTGAATTCTGAAATTTACAGAAAAAAAATATTTCCTTATGGAAAGATGTAAATGAAGTGTCAGGGCAGGAAAGGATAAACTTCAACTCATCCAGTCATGCTGACAGGGGTGGCTTTAAGAAAGGAAAAATAAATCAAATAGTGCAAGAGCTATCACAGAATCCAAGATATCTGCTCCTGGCTGGAACACACAGAGCAATCACCCTGTATCTGTCCGTCAGCATCAGGTGCTGTGAAAGCACGAGATTTATCCTTGGCCTGGGACAAACATTGTGGCACTGAGACCCTGTGTTTTCACCTCCCACTTGGAACAATCCCAGCTGCTTGCTGGGATTTTGGGCAGAGGAATCAGCTGGCTGCTTTTGTGCACTGCAGCACGCAGGGAAGCCAGGGCCATTTGCAGGGGTGTACAGTGAAGGGAGAGGATGGTCCCTGTCCAAGATGCCCCCAAACCACCCCAGCTCTTAAGTGCAACCCCTCAACGCTGGGTGAGAAACAATGCCTGTGCACTAAACTTTGGAAGCTGCTCACTTGAAATGCTTCTCTTCCAGGCTCAGAAAACAGCCAAGAGACACGAAGGAGTCTTTGGGAAAGATTCCAGCCCTGACCCGACAGCAGAGGATTCAGCAGCACACTCCTCTGAGTGAGACATCTCCTGCTACGAGCACCAGCTCACACTGTACCCAGGACACACTTTCACCATCACGGAATCCCAGACTGGTTTGGCTTGGAAGGATGATCTTTAAGGTCTGCTCCAGCCCAAACCATTCCATGCTTCTATGAAATAAATTAAGGAAACAGCTCCCTGCAGCCAGTATCTGCATGTGTCAATCCCACAGCAATGTGGACAGCAGCTCATTTTGTGCCACCTGGCAACCAAACAGGAGCACCTTATTCTGAAGCTGTTGAGACACCAGTGATTTCAAAGCCATGTAGCTGTGGTGCTGAGAAACATGGTTTAGTGGTGACCTTGGCAGTGCTGGGTTAATGGTTGGATGTGATGATCTTAAAAGTCTTTTCCAATCAAAACAATTCCATGATTCCCAGCCCACCCCACGCAAGCAGTGCCCACGGTTCAGCTCCCTGCTCCAAGAGCATCTTCCCCAAGCACAGTGAGGTCTGCTCACCTCTGTCCTTGGGGAACTGACATCCCTGCTTGGTGTCACCATGCCCAGTGAAACTGGATGTGGTTCAGTGTTCACATCTGGAGGCAGCTGCTCTATCTGCATCCTTTTTGAGCCCGCAGCCTCCAGCAGGGCTAGAACTTGTAAAAAGCATCCACAGAGGAAAAACACCCTCAAAGCCTCCTTGTTCTGTCAGGACTGTCATTTGTTCACACATTATTGCATTTTCCAAAGACTTGGCTGCCCCTACAAGGGTGCTGCACCATCCAGCAAATACAGGAGATCACCAAATATCAGATGGGGTTGGGTGGGAAGGGACCTTAAAGATCACCCAGTCCCACCCCCCCTGCATGGGCAGGGACGCCTCCCACTAGACCAGGCGGCTCCAAGCCCCATCCAACCTGCCCTTCACCCCTGCCGGGGTTGGGGCAGCCACAGCTGCCCTGGGGAGGCTGGGCCAGGGGCTCACCACCCTCACAGCAAAGAATTTCTTCCAAGGATCTCATCTCAATCTCCCCTCTCCCCCCTCATCCCCCCCCACCCCACCCCCCCCTGCCTCTGTCAAAACTCCCTCCCCAGCTTTCCTGTAGCCCCTTCAGGTCCTGGAAGGTGCTCTAAGGTCTCCCCAGAGCCTTCTCTTCTCCAGGCTGAACAACCCCAACTCTCTCAGCCTATCTCCAGAGCAGAGCTGCTCCAGCCCTCAGGCCAACTCCATGGCCTCCTCTGGACTCACTCCAACAGCTCACCCTAGTCCCACTGCCCAGAGACAAAAAGCAGCACCAGAGCACACAGAAATGACCCAGTGAGGGCTGAGCCAGCAGGAAAGGAGACATCAGACCTTGAGGGGAAGTGACTTAATTTTCACAAATGACACCAAATCCCAGCTGAAAAGCTGCTCTGCAGCTTCACACCAGAATTCCACTGAGAAAACAGAAACATTCAAAGACAACAATATTTCTGCTGTGGTTTCAAGGGATGTGGGGCTTGGGAGCTTGGGGTTCCCATGCTTGGAGCTGAAAAAGCTCCAATTGAAACATGTTTCGGATGAGGAAGGGAAATGCAAGGAGCTTGGCTGCCTGGGAGAAGGAAAATAATGGCTGTGAAGGGATAACGCTGCCACCTACAAATAAATCAGACATAAATACTTCAGAAGAAGAACATCAAGGCGGGGGAAGAGCTGTTTAAATGAAAGATCAATGTCGGTTTGAGAGAAAAGAAAATGGGAATGACATCAAGCTGGAAATTAGGCAGCTCCTCCCCAAAGCAGGGAGGTTGCCCAGCAGCCTCCTAACAAGGATGAAAAACCAAAGTGGATTTAAGCCACAGCTCCATATGATCACCCTGGGAACTACAGGATGGTGTTAGAGCAATGGCAGGATGCTGGATTTTTGCTGGTGGCTGGGACTGGCCCCTGCACAGCATGGATACCCGGGCAGGGTGTGAGGAGGGAGACGTGTCTGGGGTGAGATTTCATGCAGTGAGAGTGAGTCACTCGGAGCAGGTTTCTATAAACAACCTCCTCCCGCCCTTGCCATCAGCTCCCTTATTGTGGAGATTGCTTGAGACAGCACCATCTAATTAAGCACGAGCCTGAGGCACATTCCTCATTTGCAGATATAGGAAGAAGTGCCTCATTTCAATTACATGCTTTTTTATAAAAGTTTGCTGTGCTGTTTGCCCTCTGGATGCCACCACGCTTGAGAAGGCAAAAATAAAAAAAAGCATCATGAAAGCTGATCTGGATTCCTCGTTAAAACACCTACTGATTCCTGACCACAGTGCTAAGGAAACACCTAAGACTCGTCCAGGATCATCTCTCCTGGAGAAGGCTCTGGGGAAACCTTAAGAGCATCTTCCAGGACCTGAAGGGGCTACAGGAAAGCTGGGGAGGGACTTTTGACAGGGTCATGGAGTGATGGGATAAGGTGGAAAGGTTTCAAGCTGCAAGAGGGAAGATTGAGATGAGATCTGAGGAAGAAATTCTTTGTTGTGAGGGTGATGAGACACTGGCCCAGGTTGCCCAGAGCAGCTGTGGCTGCCCCATCCCTGGCAGTGTTGAAGGCCAGGTTGGATGGGGCTTGGAGCAATCTGGTCTGGTAGGAGGTGTCTGGAAACTACTATTACAGGGAACTACTAGGGAGAGTCCATTGAAGGGCAACAAAGATGACTGGGGGATTGGAGCATCTCCTGTATGAGGAAAGGCTGAGAGAGCTGGGACTCTTCAGCGTGGAGAAGAGAAGGCTGAGGGGAGACCTTATTAATGCCTTTAAGTATCTACAGGGTGGGTGCAAGGAGGATGGAGCCAGACTCTTTTCAGTAGTTCCCAATGACAGGACAAGGGGCAATGGGCACAAGCTGGAACATGGGAAGTTCCATTTAAATATGAGGAAAATCTTATGTAGGGTGATGGTGACAGAGCACTGGGACAGGCTGCTCAGGGGGGGTGTGGAGGTCCCTTCTCTGGAGATATTCAAGACCTGCCTGGATGCAGCCCTGAGTAATGTGCTCTAGAGGATCCTGCTTTAGTGGGGGAATTGGACTAGATGGACTAGCTGATCTCTGGAAGTCCCTTCCAACTCTGACAATTCTGTCATTCTGTGTCCCTGCCTATTGCAGGGTGTTGGGAATAGATGGTCTTCAGGGTCCCTTCCAACCCAAATCAGTCTGTGATTCTGAGTCCGGGTGTCAGGTGCACCCAGAGCTCCCAGTAATAACCAGCAGCAAGGCCACCCATGAGTGGCTGCTGGCTGCCAGACAGGCTCAGCAGTTTGGATTCCAGAGGTACGTCACTTTTGTTCATTCATGCTTCAAATTTCCTCTCATTTTATGTCTGTGTCTGACACATCCCCAGCCCAGCTAAGCCATCTCTTGCATGCAGCAGCTCTGCTTCAGCCAGCCCCTTTCTGAGCATAAAGAGTTCCCAAAATCCATAGGGATCACATCATAAATTGGTCTATTGTCCTAAACTGCTGAAAGCCCCCGTGCCTGTGGAGTTGTTTAGGAAAAGCTGAATTCAAAGAGTGAAGGGATGGCAGCAGGGATCAGAGCCCAAACAGCACAGACAGTGCAGGGGGTCTCAGAACCTCACACAAGGCAGGACACAAAAGGAGACATCATGAATCCTCCTCTGCAGCCTCTCCCTGTCCTTTCCAACAAGTTTTCCTACCCTGGCACTGTGCAGGGACATGGGGGTGACAGGCAGGGTGAAAAGCCAAAGTCATGGTTAGCAGGGTGCTGCCACCTCCCCCTGCACCCCGACTCACCGAGTTGGTACCCAGGATCTGTAGGTTGGGTTTCTCTGACTCCAGCAGCTTCGCCACCATCTTCAGGAAGCTCTCCACGAAGAGGTTGATGCTCTGGCAGTGGCAGGCCATAAGGAGCTGGTCCAGGGCCTCCATGGCAATGCACACGTACCTGGAAGCAGGAAAGGCCACGGTCACTCCCCAACAGCAGCATGAACCTCCTCCTCCCTTCTCCTAAACCACCAACAAAACACCAACCTTCTGCCTTGGCCAACCCAAGGAGAAAAATTCTACAGCCAAAATACACTTTGGATAGAAAAATATCCCAATAAAAATAAAATAAATGTAAATAAATTAAATAATAAAAAGGAAATTTAAAAGATGGTGTTGGCTGCTCCCAGCATCTCTCCCACTAGCAAAGACCCAGCTGCTCCAGGCCCAAGGCTGCCAGCAACACCTTGCACCTCCCCCCACACTGCTCCTGGGCTTCCCTTGCCCTTGAACTGGTTTTTCTCTGCTGGAAGGAGAGCTGGGCTTTGCACAGGGTGGGCTCAGTGTCAAACACAGCTTTTCTCACAGTCCCAGCTGGGAGTAGGGACAGGATGAGAATGCAGAATTAGACTTGATGTGCTCCAGGGAAGCTTAAACACACAGTAACAATACACAGCAACGCTGCGAAGCAGGTGACCATCACCCCGAAATTCCTGGCAGGAGCAGGGTTTCCTCCAGCAGTGCACAGATAGGATGGGGCATTGCCCACACCAGGATTAATTACCTCAGTTCCCTTTCCCATTGCAGCCACTCAGTCTTGGCTTTGGGTGGTGAATGGGAGAGGGAAGCCCAGAACATGGCTCAAATACAGGGACACATCCATGACAGGCCCTTGGAACATGCAGGGAGCACAGCACATCCGTTCACTGTCCCTCCTGACCAGGCTGAGCTCACCCACAGACCACCCATGAGCAGCTGGATTCATAGAAACATGGAATGGCATTGCTTGGAAGGGACCTTAAAGATCATCTAGTCCCAACCCCCTGCCATGGGCAGGGACACCTCCCACCAGACCAGGTTGCTCCAAGCCCCATCCAACCTGCCCTTCAACACTGCCAGGGATGGGGCAGCCACAGCTGCTCTGGGCAGCCTGGGCCAGGGTCTCACCGCCCTCACAGCAAAGAATTTCTTCCTCACATCTCATCTCAATCTCCCCTCCTGCAGCTTGAAACCATTCCCCCTCATCCCATCACTCCCTGCCTTTGTCAAAAGTCCCTCCCCAGCTTTCCTGTAGTCCCTTCAGGCACTGGAAGGTGCTCTAAGGTCTCCCTGGAGCCTTCTCTTCTCCAGGCTGAACAATCCCAATTCTCTCAACCTCTAACCCAGATGGTGGGTTTCAGTGCTGCAAACTCAAACAAGAGCACTTTCCACTTTTAGCAATAAAGGTAACAAAAAGATGACACACAACAGCCCTGGAATCAAAGCTACCTTCATCTTACAGGCAGGAGTATCACCCACGTGCTCAGCAGCTCTATCAAAGCCTGGCTCTGGTGTCTTCAGCCAACACCAGCCGACAAACACAAGGTTGATCCAAACTTATTTTAGGCATTTCAAAGTTAAGACTTTGAAAATTAGCTGCTGCTTCAACCCAATTACCTGCCTATCTGCACAGGCGGTGGATGAAGATTTTCCCCCCCCTCTGCCCCCTGAGACTTGTCATTGGATGGATAAAAGGAAAACAAATCTTTGAAAGCTTTTCTTTTCCCAGCATAGCAAGCAGAGCCTGTTAACAGCTGCTCAAACCACAAGAACACCAGGCAGTGCTTTGAATGTCCTGTCACTCCTGATGACGGGTACTGCAGATGAGGCTTTTCAAGGTTTTCCAACTTCAACACTTCTTCGGCAGATCCTCGGCTCCTCTCTCCCCCTGGATACAAACCAGTTTGAAGCTCACAGCATGAATCTGAGCCATGTTTGTCTGCTGTGGCTTTGTTCAGGAGACAAGACAAAATCCAGCTGGGATTTCAAAGGGAAGGAGTCCTTCCGTGCTCCCCCAGAATACCAGGGCAGTCAGCTATTTCATAGAATCCCCAACTGGTTTGGATTGGAAGGAACCTTAAAGATCATCTCTGCCATGGGCAAGGACACTTCCCACTAAACCAGGTTGATCCAAGCCCCATCCAACCTGCCCTTCAACACTGCCAGGGATGGGGCAGCCACAGCTGCTCTGGGAAACCTGGGCCAGTGTCTCATCACCCTCACAGCAAAGAATTTCTTCCTATAATCTCATCTGAATGTCCTCTCTTGTAGCTTGCAACTGTTTCCCCTTGTCCCATCACTCCCTGCCCTTGTGAAAAGTCTATCCCCAGCTTTCCTGCAGCCTCTCCAGGTACTGAAACCTGATGATGGCCCAGAGGGATGATGGCAGTTCTGCTGCTGGGAACAAACACCATACACACACCAACTCCTCAAGCACAGCCAGTACAGTGCCAGCGCAACACCACATGGCTTTCAGCCTGACTGGTCCCTTGCAACTTTGCACGGAGTTTCCACATCTCTGCAGGCTTTCACATCTCACTTCTAGACACACAACACTCTTGCATCTCTCTGAGCAGTCTTGTCACTTCAGGACACCTTGGAGCACACAGAAGCTGTGTACCCCTCCCATACTACCCCTACCCTGAGACCCCTCTACTATTTAGTGGTCCATTGTTATCAGGTTGCCTCATCCCTGGAAGTGTTCAAGGCCAGGTTGGATGGGGCTTGGAGCAACCTGGTCTGGTGGGAGGTGTCCCTGCCCATGGCAGGAGGATTGGAACAAGATGATCTTTAAGGTCCCTTCCCACCCAAACCATTCCATGGTTCTCTGATCATTATGTTGATCCCTGGGATGGCTGGACCAGCCCCCCCCTCACCCATAGCGGTGCCGGCTCACGTCCCGGATCAGCCGCTCGGACAAGTAGGCACCGATGCGATCCAGCTTCTCTGGGGCAGACAGGGCATAAAAAGTCAGTTTCTCCATGTTGGTCTTCACCAGCCCATCCTGTAAGAGAGCAGCACAAGGCGTCACGGACTCACACGCAGACCCAGCAAACAGCAGAAGTGTCTCCATAGCAAACCTTCGGCAGAGATGCCAGAGCTCTGGAGTGTGACAGGCCCATCCCAAAGCTTCCCTGCGCCTTGTACACCAGGGAAGGCAGATGAGGTTTGCAATTAGCCTCCTCGAGGGTTCTCTGATCAGGGCTGACCCCAGGGGAAGCCTCCATTGAGCACCCCACTCTGAATACAAGGAGAACCATTTGCCAGCCCTTTGCAATGCCCCAGCACCAAGGGGGATAAGGGCAGACAGGAAAAATCCAACTCAGCTTTTATGGTGCCAAAGCATCACCCACATCCCAGGAGCTTTTTCTGAGCAGGTGACACTGTGTCCATGAAGCCTGAGCACCAGAGCTTCAGCACGTGAAGCAGCAGCTTGTTTACCTCTGGGTCCTCAGGGAAGATGTTGTCGACAAGTCTCTTGTAGCGAGGACGCAGGGCACCGCAGCAGCCACAAACACCTGGAAGGGAGAAGACAAAGCCCATCAGCAGGGACAAAAATCCTCAGCTCCTGGGCAAACTCCTGCATAAAGGTGCCTTTGGTGGAAAATCTATCTTTGGATTCAGTAGGGAAGCCTGGGAAGAGGGCAGGGCACCAAGCTGACAACATCCCAGGGTTTTGCAGCCAAAAAAAACAAGGGCAGAAAACCGCAGCTGAGAGGCAGAGAATTGGCTGGTGACCAGCAGCATTTGACGTAGGACTTCAGGGTTATCTGCTTTTCTCACCCAAGAGCAGCCCCCAGAGACCAAGATGTCCAAAGTTCCCCTCAATCTGTGTCTCTCTGTCTTGCAGGATCCTTTTGTGCAGGTCCTCAGACCAGGAGCTCTTTGCTCCAGTCACTCGCCCAAGGACACAAAATTCATACCCTGCCCCACGCTCCCCACAGGCAGGGATCAAGGGAGCACAAGCTGCTGGAAAAGGCAAGAAAGCAAAGGATAAGAGAGGATCTCACAAAGGCAATGAAAGGAAAATGCATTTCCTCGTTTATAGTTCCACAGTTGAGCTGCTGGGAAACATCAAAACATCTTCAATTGCTTCCCTACCCCTGGGCTGCTGGACCACAGTCCCTCTCCCCTGAAGGGGACACCAAGTGTTTTGCAGGACACTGACACAACCATACCCAGCCCCTCTTTTTGAGGGGCCTGAGACGTGACAGCAGCTGGTTCCTGATGCACAAGCCCTACGAAGCCTCTCTGAGAGCCAGACTCCTTCATAGCAGCACCTCTGCAGGTCAGTGAATGGCTGAGCATCAGCCTCATTGCAAGGCAGAGCAAAGCAAGTCACCAAACATCCCAAATGTGGCTGCAATCCCTTGCTATCAAAGAGCTGCCAAGGAGGAATCAGACAATCACAGAATCATTTTGGTTGGAAAAGACCTCTAAGGATCGTCAAGTCCCACCATTATCCCAGAACTGCGGAGGCCACCACTAAACCATGTCCCTCAGCACCACAGCTACAGGGCTTTGAAATCCCTCCAGGGATGGGGACTCCACCACTGCCCTGGGCAGCCTGGGCCAGGGCCTGACAACCCATGAAGAAATTGTTCCTAATATAAAACGTAAACCTCTCCTGGCACAACCTGAGGCCAGTGAGGGCTCAGGAAGGGATGGTTTGCAACCTGGATATTTCTCCCTGTGCCATATCCTGTTTCTCAGGGCTGCAGCACATGGCCAGGGATCCCCCTGTATTCAGCTCAGGGACAGCTGGTGGTCCAGGAGGGCTCTTGGGCATCCATTGTGCTTCCACAAGCACCAAGCATCCATGGGCACCTCCACCCTGCTACACAGAATCACAGAATCATTAAGGTTGGGAAAGACCTCTAAGGTCATCAAGTCGAACTGTCAACCCAACACCACCATGCCCACTAAACCACATCCTGAAGTGCCACATCAACACACATTTTTTAACACCTCCAGGGATGGCGACTTCACCACTGCCCTGGGCAGCCTGTTCCGATGCTCAACACCCCCCTGCATAAAGCCACACCAGCACTGCTCTGCCTCCCGGGCAATGAGGAATTTCTGCCAAGTTTGTTTTAAAAGAAGGGGAGAAAAAAAGATTGTTGGACTCTCTACCCTCCCCCCTAAAGGGCTTTGCACACCCGGATCCCCCTTGTTCCAGCACAATGCATTTTTTCCCGGGGACCCAGCGTTGCTGGGATGCTGCAGCCCCTTTGTGAGCTTGGGGAAGCGTCAGTAATTCAGGGGCTGGGTTGTTGTTGTTTTTTTTTGGCAACTGCCAGCTAAGCAGAAGCTGGAGGGGGAGGACACACACCAGAAGCTGGGGCAGCAGGACACACACAAAGGCCGTGTCGGTGGGAGCCGGCGACTGCTCCCGCTGGAACGCCTGAGCTCGCGCCAGCTCCTGGCGCCGGCACCGCGTCGCTCCTGCCACGTTCCCACTCGCTTCCCAAGCTTCTCACCTCCCCAGGGAGGCTGCCACCAGCTTTGGGGTCCGTTTTGGGACCCAGCATCCCCAGATGCAGAGGCAAGGAGCTCCTTCCGCCTCTCCTGCTCTCCCCGCACACCCCAGCGCCCTGCGAGCCGAGATTCTCTTTCTGCCTCACACCCTCTCATCCCCCTCTTCCCTTCTCTGCTGCCTTCACTCGATTTTGCTCTTCTTTTTTTTTCCCCAAAAGTACCTTTAATCTGGCCTCTTAATAAATTCTTCTTTGTCATTCACACAAATGAGTGGCTGATCATCTGTGGAATCCTCTTACTAAATTTCCCTCTTCCAGGGCTGCTGAGGCAGCTCTCCCTGCAAAACAACTTCCACGTAAGGTCCTCTCTGCCTCCTGCAGCCTCCTCAGTAATCATCTCACCTCCAGATATGTGACTTCAGAGTATTTTGAGAATTAAGGAACATTCTCAGCCCTGGGAGAGGAGCTAAGAGTTCCAGCTGTGGTCCCAACCCACCAGCCTCATCCTTGATGAATGAAGCTGAAGAGGAGACAAGTTACAGATCCCATCAATAATAACTGCACTAATTAAATCTAACTCCTTCCCCCTCACCTGCCATGACCTCTTCTTCCAGAAATAGGAGATTTTTAAGGCCTCACCTACAGGAAGCAGCAGTGTGAGAGAGAAGACCCAAAGCTCCTGGCAGGAGAGGGGATCCAGCTTTCCTATCGGCCCCACGTTTTTGGGGGGACAAACCAAGTTCACCCAGGGAAAGCAGAAACATTTCTCAGCTCCAAAGCCACAACAGGTGGGGATCCCACTGTGGCCCAGCAGAAGGACAGGGCTTCCTACAAGTGCCTCCAGATGAGACTCTCTGGTCTTTAGTAAGAGGGCTGAGCTCCCTGCAGCAGGGCACTGAAAGGGTCTCACTCTTCTGGCATGAAACCAAGAGAAACTTTCCTGCCCCTGCTCTTGGTTTTACCCAGCCTGGGCATACACAAGTACAGACAAGGACCTCATAAATGCTAAAAAAAGCAGAGTAAAAATGACATAAACCTTTATTTTTTCCCTTTTTATATTCCACCCACCAAGGGCTCTCCAGAGAGGAACAAACCTAAGTCTGGTCCTGATGCCAAGGCTGAAATCAGCCCCAGGCTTGGTCAATATGGGATCCCCCCAGATCCTCACAGCACTGAACCCCAAAGCTGGGGGTGGTGACAACCCCCCATCCAGGATACCTGACAAAGGGTGTCAGACAAGACATTTCTTCTTCCAGACACCCATTTGCTTTAGCACCCACCATGCTGACCCCAAGTACCTCGTAGCTTTGCAACCAGCTCTGGTTCCAAGCAAGGCACTGACCAGCAGCATCCCCCATGCAAGGACAAAACCCCAAAGCCACAGATCTCCAGCCCAGGCTGGCACAACTGTGGAATCATAGAATCACAGAATCCCAGACTGGTTTGGTTGGGAAGAGACCTTAAAGACCACGTAGATCCCACCCCCATGCACTGGCAGGCACACCTCTCACACGGTCAAGTTGCTCAGTGCCCCATCCAACCTGGCCTTGAGCACTTACAGAGATGGGGCATCCCCAGGTTAGGGTTGCTAAGCCTGGAGAAGAGAAGGCTCCAGGGAGACCTTAGAGCACCTTTCAGTACCTGAAGGGGCTACGGGAAAGCTGTGGAGGGACTTTGGACAAAGGCAGGGAGTGATGGGATGAGGGGGAATGGTTTCAAGCTGCAAGAGGGGAGATTGAGATGAGATGTGAGGAAGAAATTCTTTGCTGTGAGGGTGGTGAGACCCTGGCCCAGGTTTCCCAGAGAAGATGTGGCTGCCCCTGGCATTGTTGAAGGGCAGGTTGGATGGGGCTTGGAGCAACCTGGTCTGGTGGGAGGTGTCCCTGCCCATGGCAGGGTGGTTGAAACAAGGTGGTTTTTAAGAACCCTTCCCACTCAAACCAGTCGTGGATTCTATGATCCACAAATTCTGTGGAGAAACTGGGCCAGTGTCTCACCACCCTCACAGTAAAGCATTTCTTCCTCGTGTCTGACCTAAATCTTCTCTCTTCCACTTTAAAGCCATTCCCCCTTGTCCTATTGCCAGGGCAAGACAAGGCATTTAAAATACAAGGTATATAAAATACAGGGTATTTAAAAAAAAAACAAACACAAAAACAACAGGAAAATTACACTGCCAGT